GGGGGGTGCATCAGGAATTGAAAGGGTTGGAAGTTAAATTTTCAGTGCCTTCATCACTTTCTTTACACTTTTCTTTACACTTTTTCTCAATTTTTTCCTATTTTTTATTTTCTTATCCTGCGGATGTCAGCCGCCTGAATGTTTCCTTAGGCCTGTGATTCACAATATAACTCACTAAAAAAGCACTGTTACTCAAAAAACTGTTACCTGCCAGAAATATGTAAACAACAAAAGGGCAACAAAGCGTTTAATTAAACTTTAATCAAAGTAAAGGCTAACAAAGCAAGAACATGCATAAAAATCAATATAAAATTGTGCATTCTTACCGAACTAATTCTTTTAAATTTGTAATCTTTCGCATAGAACGCGGTAATTTAATACGAAATTTTTCTTTTCGAATGAAATCTTTCGCCGATGATCCCAGCTTATAAAATAAAGCAACACATTTGATTACGTCGACTGTGTTCACATCCAAAACACATGAATTATTCAAATCATTATCCGCCCTTTCAAGTTCTGCCATCTTGAACTGACTTTATTCCTTTATGCACATACCTCATTACTTGTTACTTCATGTAATGTGACATTGTGACTACACTGACTGGGCAAGCCTAGGCAGGGAGATAACTATTCTGTTTTTCCCTCGGTCTATCGGAGACTATCTGACAAGAAACTTCTGGACGGCTGTTGTGAGCCCTTCAAAATTTAAAAATAAGCTTTCACGATATATTTTAAACCGTAATCCGTGCATAAAAACACGCTTAGAACCGAAAACCGAGTGTAAAAACTATGATTTTCCACCACCGTACAATAATTTCTTCACCGTAAACCGCCACAAAAACGTAGATATATCCGAAATCCGATCCATAAAATGGATAAAACCGCCTAACCGCCAGACTATAATAGCCCCCCTGCAAAAGCTTTATCTCCTAGTAGAAAGTAAGGGATATTAGTTGGTCTTTATAACAAACATACTTGCAGGGAGGTGATTCCGGGATTGGATGCACCGAGGTGCGTCCAATCCCGGACTCACCGAACCTGCAAGTACTTTGGTTTTTATCCCATACACCGAACCATACACACACTTGTAGCTCTTCGCGATATATTCGTCGATGTTTTGTGAACATTTTCCCGGCCAAAAAAATAACTGGGCAAGAAAATACTTCTTTATCTACATCTACATTACCTTTCCCGCATTTTTTCTTTGGTTTTTCTTCAGTCCCAGTATGTTAGTCACCGAAAAAAGTTCTTTAAAGTTTAGGTTTACCGGCTAAATCTTGCCCGCCATATTTGTTATTGTTATTGCAACGTAAGCAGTTTAGCGGGTGAGCTCGGGCGAAAAGCAGGTGAGTTCGGCAAAAAGCAAGTGAGCTCGACGACAAGCTCACCTGCTCTAAACCAATCAGAAAGAAAGCCGCTTTTAACACAGGTATGGGATAATGGCCTAATTTTGATGGTGTTGGGAATACATCAGACTTGCAGATATTTTCAAGAAAACCATGTTTAAAAAATCACTCCAACAGACATGCTTCCTGGTGCCCCAAGGTCAAATGATATAATCTTTGCATTCGCATCAGCAATGGCAAGTAAAACAACACTGTTGTGCTTTTTATAATTAAAGTATTTATGTATCATATTAAGCAATTTGTCAACCAACGATGGTTTCATCCTGAAAAAGATAAAAACAATTTTAAGTAACATAGTTCGACAATGCACGACAAACATCATCATTGGAAAAATCATCGGCTTGTTGCTTATTGGCTGTTGAAAAATTGGCAAATTCCAAAGAAAGTTCATTGACTGAAGTATATTATTATATTATTACATTTTGCTGGGCTGCCTATGTACAGACAATCACAGGAGACATTTTCAAAGGCAAATTGCGGTGAAAAAACCAAATACTATTCACTCCTCTACTCAAAGCATTGAAAAACACCATAACGAGAAAAACATTTTAAACATACATCAGGTGAGACTTTTAGCTCAATTTTCTCATGTTTCTGTTTGGGAAAGCAACAGTTTTTAGCCAAAAGGCTGCTATAAAATGTCAGACACACATTTTCTTTTGACGTCTGGCTCTAAAAAACAATAACTTTTTTTAGTTTGAAATAAGCCTTCATAAGGACTAATTGTGTAGAAATGTTATCTGTATGCTCAAATGAAAAAGATAAGCTAATATTCAGGTATTCAACATAGCTATAAAAGGGTGAAATAAGGACTTTCATCTTTGGTGAGATGACAATTAGTCCTTATGAAGGATTATTTCAAAACACCTCAAAACCACATATTTTTAGTTAAGAAAATTACAAAGTTTCCCATTAACATTATTAAAAATGTTCTAGTGAAGTGATTTCATGATAAATAAGTGAGCAATAGGCCCAAAAGAACAGCTAAATTATGCTTTTGTTAGGACTTCAATTTCTGATTCGACATGTAGTTGCTAGAAAATGAGGTTGCATCAACATTATTATCTGCCTTATCGATTTAAAGTTTTATGGGGATGCACATTCGCACACAGTAAAGTTTAACCTGGTGTCGTTTGAAACATCCTTTAGCTGAAATGACAACTTGAACAAGAGGACCAACAATGGGGTCACGAAAACAGTTGAAATTGTGCCCAAATATGCATAAACAGTTTGTCTAAAAAGAGTTTAAACTAGATTCAACCAACTTTAATCCCATCGCATTTTGTGAGTGTTTGATCGCATATTTCTACTCAAAAATACCCTTAAAAACATTTCTTGTGATTTCCGACTTCTATTTTTGATAAAGTTCGGAGAAATCCTCATCGTTTTGGCTGAAAATCTCGCACATGCTTCACAGAAGAACATGACCCAAAACGTCAATACATTCGCTTTAATTTCGTGCCAAGTTTTTGTTGTAGATCATTAAAAAACGCCTTCTTTTTTTGCTTTTAAAACTTGCTGTAAAATCCTTCTTTGCAACAGTATCACCATTGTTCATTATTTTTGAAAAACTAAAATTTTAAACTTGAAAAACTTTGCGAGTTTCTGACCGATTTTACTCTAATTTCACGTCCTATTTTTGTATCTGTTGCTAGGCAACCCGATAAACATGTGCTTAGTAATCATGCTCACAAGTTAGGGTGTCATTTCAGGGCGCATTGCCGCTTATACCCCCTTGCCATTCTCATGGCGCATATGGGCACATTGCTGCTTAATGAGTTAATTAAAGACTACATTAAACTTAACACAAGATTAAGAAAAGCTGCTACAATAAGTGCTTTTGAAATAAGTCAGACTACTCTTAATTGGCTACTCATTTTTACATGTTCCTCGAGAATCTCATGGGGGGTGGTGTAGCTGTTGTGTTTAGAAGATCCCTATGTGTCAAGAAAAATCTCAGTATTGGAAAGTTTCAATCTTTTGAATATATGGACTTGACCATGAAATCTGTATCGAAGTCTGTAAGAATTACTGTTGTAATCCTTTGTCAAAAAAGAACAGATTAAATGAAGCCACCTTTTTAAATGAATTTTCTAATCTACTTGAAACACTGGTTTCCGAGCCGTGGATTTTCATGTTAATGATGTAAACAGTGTGTCACCAAAAACGTTTAGCAATTTAATTGCATCGTTTGATTATAAAAACACATGTTTACTGCCACCCATAAAAACGTTCATACATTCGATCTAATATTAACAAGATCAGATGATAAATTTGTGTCAGGCGTTAACGTAATTGTCCCTGCTATTTCTGACCATTTGGCAGTAAATTATAAACTATTGTTTGCCAAACCACAAATCTGTAAGGAAGTGTATAGCTTCAGAAATATCAAGTCAATAAATTTCGATTTCCTTCATGCTGATATGAGAAAATCTGCCCTAGTTCAAAGACGTAATACTGCAATTGATACATTTGCCCTTGTCGACTCCTGAAAACACACTTGTCGTTTCTACTGCATATGCATGTACCTATTAAAAGAAAACTAAAAACATTACGCCCAGTCACCTCATGGAAATGAAGTCGCCTGAAATTCAAGAACAGAAAGTCATAAAGAGGAGGTTGGAGCATCATTGGAGAACCACACAACTAATAGTCGATAGGGAATGGTAAATGACTGTGTGTCTGATCAAAGAGAACTCTTCAAGAAAATAGAGAGAATGTTTAATAGATCAGTAGAAAGAAAATATCCACCATTATGTGACTCATCTGAACAACTTGCAAATAATTTTGCAGATGTTTTTGAAAATAAAATTGATGTCATTAGAATTGATTTATCAACACATTCTACAAATGCAGTATGCACCAACATCACCGAGGCATCATCACCACCCAACGAAATGCGGTGAACTTAGATCCTTTGTACCTATAACTACTAAAGATCTGCTTGTCCCCACAAAACAAAATGGCCCACAAATCTTGTGTCCTTGATCCAATTCCTGCTAAGATCTTATTGGAATGCTTTACTAATTTGCTACCCGTGATTACAAATGTAATTAATAATTCACTAGAAACAGCTCCTGCACCTAGAAACCTAAAATGCACAGCTCTGTAACCAAGATTGAAGAAAGATAACATAAAAACTGACAAATATTCCAGCTTTCGACCAATCTCAAATCTTAAGTTTGTGTCTAAATGCCTAGAGAAAGTGGTGGCAACTCAGTTAGATCAACACATCATGAGAAACAACCTAGGTGAATCCCTACAATCTGGATTCAATAAACACCATAGCACTGAGACAGCCTTGGTAAAGGTTCAAAATGATATTCTACAAGCTATTGACATGAAATACTAATACGTATACTCTCTCGGAGATATGGAATTACTGGAAAGGCTCACGAATGTTTTAAATCATATTTTGATGAAAGATTTACAGTACATATTTTGGATGGCCAATCTACTAAACAGACTATACGATCTGGTGTCCCTCAGTGTAGCATTTCAGGACCAATGCCCCTTTCACCCGACATTGCACTAATAGGAGAAATTATGTGATCATTAGGCATTGATTACCATCTTTATGCTGATGACACACAATTATACATTACCTTCACATTGACTAATTCAAGTAAATTAGCCGAGGCAAAATCAGCATCATGATGGAGATAAAAACAGATGACGTTTACAAAGATATCAAGAACAGTAAGGTAAAAGATCACACAGAACAATTTGACTTTAGTAATTATAAGGAAGATCACCATAGCGGATTAGATCCTTTTAATAAACATAAACATAAAGAGAAAAACAATAAAAACCCAGGATTATTTAAGGACGAAATGGAAGGTCAAATCATGGACAGCTGTGCACTATGCGCAAAAACTGCACTGTGCACTTTCCTAACAGAATGTGGAGATGAGGAAAAGAAAGCAAAAGGTGTAAGCACAGTTAATAGAATGAGATGGTTAGGCTAGCCAGACCACGTGACAAATATGTTATTGTTCTCTTTTTATTCGTGTCATGTGACGAGATAGTGGGACGCTTCGCGAGGAGTGTAATAGAAAATATATTGACGACAAGCCTTTTGTGTTGTATCAAGTTACATATTTTTGATTGAACAACCGTATTTGATTAAAACCCTAAAGTTTTGGATAATCTGATCCTATTCACGTCTTTAAATAATACTTTGGACTGGTTTTGAGATATTAGCACGCTGTGCAAGGTGTTGACAGAAATGTATACTGTTTGTATCAAAAAATCTTCCTGGTCTCCCCCAGAAGACCAATATGGGTCCCTTGAACTATTCATTCGACAATGTCGACATGATATAGAACAACTCCCCAAATTTAGGCCCAAAAGGCCATCCAACCTCACTGACATGCTCGTAATGACATTGTTATCAAACCTGCTGATAAGGGTGGTGCCTTAGTTGTTTGGAGAGCTGATTTATACCATAATGAAGCCCACCGACAATTGGCTGATGCCACTTTCTACAGGAGGGTTGACAAGGATTTGACTTCCATTCATCAAACCACCATCACCCAGACCATTCATAAATTTATCAACACTGGTGATCTCCCTGAGACTGCCAAAAACCTCATACACATCACACCTCGCACACCTGTCATATACTTCTTGCCCAAAATTCACAAACCTGACAACCCAGGTAGACCTATTGTATCTGCTTGTGGTTGTCCCACCGAACTCATCTCCAGTTTTCTCGAACGTGTCATGGCACCCTTGGTTAAGGACTTACCATCCTATATCAAGGATACCAAGCATGCTCTTCAAATTCTCCAGAACATTCATTTTCATGGCACTCATAAATTCATTTTCACCATGGACGTCAAATCCTTATATACTGTAAGTCCGCATCATGATGGTTTGAGGGCCCTCAAATTCTTTCTAGATAAACGCCCTAACCAGGAACCGGCCACTTCTGTTTTGGTCCGATTGGCTGAGTTGGTGCTTACCCTCAACAATTTTTCCTTTGATGGTGAGCACTACCAACAGATAAATGGTGTAGCAATGGGAACTAAAATGCGACCCAACTATGCTAATTTGTTTGTTGGTTTTGTGGAAAAACAAATCTTCGAACAGTACACTGATCCCATCCCTGATTACCTTGGTAGGTACATAGATGACTGTCTTGGCACAGCATCATGTTCTCGTGTTGAATTGGAATGCTTTATCAACTTTGTTAATAATTTTCATCCAGCACTCCAGTTCACATGGGAGATCAGTGAGACCAGTGCATCATTCTTAGATATCCTTGTATCAATCAATGGTAACAAATTATCTACTGTGTTCTACAAGCCCACTGACTCCCATAGCTATCTTCTATTTTCCTCTTCCCACCCCAACCACACCAAAAGGTCGATTCCCTTTTCTCAGTTCCCTCGTCTTTGCCGCATCTGCAGTGAAAACGAAGATTTTCAGGCCAAAAGTCTGGAGATGAGACAATTTTTTGTCCAGCGTGGTTATCCTACCTCTCTATTAGACACTGCCTTTTCGAAGGCCTCCCAAATTCCCCGTTCTGACAACCTCACAGACCCTGTGTCTAATGTCACAGGCAACAACAAAATCCCCCTAGTATTAAACTATCATCCTTTCAATTTCAAAGTTAGAGATGTCATCAACAAGAATTTCCATATTTTGAAAAACAACCCTGAAACATCTTCCATTTTCTCCGATAACCCCTTAGTCTCTTTTCGACACAGCAAAAATATCTGTGAAAGCCGTGTCCATAGCTCCCTAACACAGGCTTCGACGTCACAGAAAGGCACTTTTCCTTGCCTGTCGTCGAAATGTAAAACCTGTGATTTTATAGATTCCACCACTATTGTTTCGGCACCTAAATCTGATTTTCACATCAAGCACCATTTCACGTGCGCCTCCTCCCATCTCATCTACTGCATCTCTTGCAGCAGATGTGGCATGCTTTACATTGGGGAAACTGGAAGATGTTTAAGGACAAGGTTTGGCGAGCATCGGCGTGCAGTTATTGGCAATGATGCTAACCAACCTGTTGCCAGACATTTTAATGATGGCAATCACAGTGTTTCAGATATGTTAATTCGAGCCCTCTGTCCCATTTCTGGAAGCAATGATAGCCGCAAACGACATGAAATGTGCCTCATATCCAAACTTGGCACTGTTCACCCTTCTGGCATTAATGAACGCTTTTCTAATGTTTAATGCCATCATAGACAATCCAGAAGACATGTCTTCTGTTTTATCTATGATGCCATCTATCTTTGCCTGTCTATAGCAGACATTGACAACTTCTATTTATTACTTTTACCTTATTCCCACTCGTGTTTTGTTTTGATTATTTTTTGTAGTAATTGTCTTAACTTCCTGTTTATTTTTAATTATATTATATTCTGTAATGCGATTTACATATTTTGTTTACACTTTGTTATTATTAAATCCATCTAATTGGTTTATTTTTTTGTCACGTGATGCTTTCATACCCTTAGTATAAAAGCCCGTGCATTTTCCCCGATCCCTGCTACTAACTCTTGACGAAGGGCCTTCGCTCGAAACGTCGAGTTTCTGCTTATTTTTTAAGGTAGTAATATAACCACTCAGCACAGCATTTTCACATTGGTACTACCCACACTGGTGCAGACGGTTTTGGTATAAAGAGTCAGTCTGTCATATTAGACACTGATATTTGACCTGTCAAAATAAATATTTTGGCCAGTTAATATATAACATTTTCTTGCAAAATGACATGTCTGTAATTCAATGTATTGAATGCAAAAGCTTGAATAATGTTAACAAAAAATTTCATGGCAGACATTTATTATATGTCCAGTGTGATTATTTCATTTGCAGATCCAAAAAGTAAGGTTCTGGCTACTGGTACTGTTCCTACAGAGAATATACCAACCCGAAGTCATGAGGGGGGAGACTAAAAAGCGGTGTTTTGGTGAAACATACATTTCCAGACCAACCCAGCACATCTACTGGTGTTACCTCCTCAACCTCCACTATAAATGCCCTGTTAAACCAGCTTCGAAAAAGTGATGTTGTCAGTTGTTGGAAAGTACTTGATGATACCAGTAGTGGATTCAAGATGGAACTATATGATGACTGTCATTCGATGCCAAAATATAAGATGATTTGTGATTCTGGTTTGACGTTTACCCTCTTTACCTACCACTGGCCTATCCCTGATGATCACACATTGTATCGAGAATATAATCGATCTGTTCAAGCTGAGAACATAAATAAACTTTTACGTTCAATTGAATCTTCACAATTGTGTGAAGGATTGCCCCACATCCCAGATGTAAAAGATATTGCTATTGACCCAACTAGTAATGACAGAGTCTCAGGAACAATTCTTCGCTATTCAGTACCCAAAAAACTGGCCAATAATGAGGCAGTGTATGAAGTCTCTGTTTCTTTCAGATCAGTTGATTGTACTGTTTTAAAGGAATCCCAAGATCACCAGGATAACCGATTCATTGAAGGCAATTACTAAAGCAAGTAAGCAAAAATCAAGATCATCTTCTGTACCGGCCAAAGCCAAAGCACCATTGTCAGCTTGTGGACATGAAAAACTTTGTGCTACTGTCAAGGCTACACGACTACAGAATAAACAGCTAGAGGACAGGCTAGAAATTCTGCAGGCAAAGATCGAAAAAGATGGTATTGGAGTCAGTGCATCATTCGAGACTGATTTACTAAAAATTATGGGAGGACAGAATCTCGAAGCGACACCTCACATGAAATTCTTCTGGGAGCAGCAAATGGCTTTGATGCAGTCAAAGAAAATGGGAAGAAGATACCATATCCAAGTGATTAGATTTGCCTTGTCTATCCATGGCAAATCACCATCCGCTTACAGAGAGCTTCAAGATAGTGGTGCTCTGATACTCCCTAGTGAACGAGTGTTGAGGGATTATAAGAACTACTTTAAACCTAAAGCTGGGATCAACAAGGAAAATGTGGAATGCCTGAGAGAGAAAAATTAAATCCTTTACTGAAGTCCAGCGGTATGTAGCTATTGTGATTGACGAGATGAAGATACAGTCTAGTCTTGTCTTTGACAAATGCTCTGGCGACCTAATTGGTTTTATTGACTTCGGTGATCCAATGGTCAATTTTGCCTATGTGGAAGAGGAAACTTTTGCATCCCATGCTCTTGCATTTCTCGTTAGGGGACTGTGCACTGACCTCAAACACATCATCCCATACTTTTTCACCAAAGATCTGACATCCTTCCAGCTAATGCCACTGTTCTGGAGAGCTGTGTCTATCCTCGAGTTGTCACTGCAGTTGTATGTGTGTGCAGCTGTGAACGATGGTGCATCTGCCAACAGAAAGTTCTTCCGCCTGCATTCACAACTGGCACAAGATTTGAAGTGTGATGTTGTATACAAAACACGAAATGTGTTTGCAATGTCACGCTTCATCTATTTCTTTGCATACTTGCCTCACCTCATCAAGACAGCTCGGAATTGTTTGTACAACTCCGGTTCTGGTTCCTGCAGCCGATATATGTGGAACAATGGACAATTCCTGTTGTTTCGTCATATTGCTGACCTCTTTTATAGTGACCAGGAGTTTGCACTTAACACACTTCCCAAGCTAACAATGGATCACATCGTGTTAACCCCATATAGTAAGATGAAAGTGAAACTGGCAATGCAGGTACTTAGCAAGTCTGTGATGATTTCTCTTCATGGGAAAGAAGATGTTCAGGAGACAGCTAGGTTTTGTGGCATGATAAATGATTTCTTTGACTGCACAAATGTTCGGTCATTGACAGAACATATTAGAAAAAGAAAGCCATTAATCAAGCCATATACCTGAGCTGATGACGAGGGGTTATCTTGGTTGTTGAATGTATTTCTGGAATACCTGAATAGCTGGAAGAACAACATCGCAACACGGCCTGGTACGTTCTCAGCTGATGAGAGAGGCAAGATGTTCTTGTCTCCGCAGACGTATGAAAGATTCAAGATCTCAGTTTATTCGCATGTTGAAGCGATCCAGTTCCTCTTGGAGAAAGGATTCCAGTATGTCTTGACTGAGCGATTCATGCAAGATGTACTGGAAGACTACTTTGGGCACCAACGAAACAAAGGAGCAAGATCAGACAATCCGACAGCTCAACAATTTGGATACAATGACCTAACTATTGCATCACAGTGAGACATTGCCCCAGTTATACGAGGGAATGTTGGGGGAAGGTACGAGAAGACAAAGTGGTACAAGGTCAGTGAAGAGCCAGTACATAAACGTAAGAAGCCATCGAAGGAATAAATAATATTTTGTAACAAAGACACAGCTGTGAATTCTCTATTAATAGTTCCCTTCAAAATACCCCCACAATAGGGGAAATGTTGCTTTAAGACAATTGGTACATGTATGAATGACTTTAGTCTCTTCCCCGTTTATAATACGGCCATAAATTAATATGCCCAAAACGTTTCAATAAATGATAAATGTGTTATATCACATGTTTAACAAACATAGTGTACATATACTCGGAACTATATGGTGTCTCCTCAACCTTTAATTGCCCTGAGTATTGATCTTACAGTAGCTAAATTTTCTATGGTATGTCACAGCGCAACCGCATTGATGGTGCAAATATTGTACGGAGACAGAGTCGAAGTGATAATACTGTGATGAACTGTAGCCTAATATATAAGAAATCGAGTTTTTAAATCGATTAAATTTATATATAGTTGTACATGATTTTGCCGAATTAAGAAGACTCATAATAATGAAACGTATTTCATTTCTTAGCTTTCATAATGTACAGTACGTACCAAGAAATGCCTAAATAAACTCCTACTACAATTTATACGCAAATATGCGATTTTGTTAATGGATGTATGATGAGGTTGACGGCCCGACATGCCATTTCAGCCTTGTTTGCGAGTCTGCCCTGTGGTAAAATGCGTCATGACTGGTCGGAAGACTTAATTTGTTATTAATCAGCTGTTTCGACAGTATAAGTTTTAGTAAGAAATGCGTGCATGAAGATTGAAGTTATTTAAGTTATTTTTAAGTTAGCATGTCATACTGAACTGCATATATATGAACACATATAGTAAAGACAACTTGTAATAGTTTAACTGTATACAGTGCAGGTAAAATTTGAAGTGTAGCTGGACTATTAAAGACTGGTTAACAGGGGTCGAAATCTAAATTTTTTTGTTACAGCCGGAATAGTAGATTTTTATTTTTACTATTCCGTCTGAAGATCCACTATTCCTTAATGTACTGTTTCTGAGAGCCATGCCTGATGCAGGGTCCGCGCCGCTAATTTTCTGTTCATGCAGGTGCCAGGGTCCGCGCTAATTTTCGTGAAATCATCCTTGAGACTCCTAAAGTGAACTGAATAATTGAATAACAAAAAATAAACATGTACAGTGCATTGCTCAGTGATGAACAAATTATTAATAAAAAACAAAGTTCAAACACTGAAATGAACTTGCGAACGTTGTTGCGAAGTTCGCGCCCAATTTCCGAACTTGGAAACGTAATTGGCAAGTTCGCAACAAACTTGGGAACTGCGCGTTGAAAAGTGACTTGAAATGGACAATAATATTGCTGCAAAGAAATTAGAATATGCAAGTATTGCAAGCGAACAAGAACTTAGCTACGAAGTGGAACAGTGGCTCGAAATCCGGTATAAAGTAATATATTATACAACAGGAAAACCCTTGCTTGTCGATATTTGGTACCACAATTTTTCTGCTATACAAACGGAATACTATGATCATGAAGTTTACTATTCCGTCAGGCATTTTAGTATATTCGGAATAGCGGGAATTTCGACCCCTGGTTAAAATTCATAAAATGTTGGTGAATAATTTCATCAGCTTTTTCACAAACGATTCATAAGCGCATGGTTCGTATAGTTATAATTATACAATTTCATTGACATGCAGATCCATTCTCATAGAGTAAAGATTATGAACTATGTTATAATATGATTTCCAATTTTAGAAATCTAAATCAGTTCATGAACATTTCATGCGAATTGATCATGAACTGTGCCATGAAGTGTTCATGAATCACTTCATGAAAATTCATGAGGAATTCATGAAAATTCATGAGGAATTCATGAAAATTCATGAGGAATTCATGAAACGCTCTGTTCTCTCCATTCATGAATTATTCGTGAATGATTCATGAAATGTTCATGATTACAAGATCATGAAGTATTCATGAACAGCAATTTTCATGGACTGTGCCATTTAATGTTCATGAGAAAATTCATGAAAAGTTCATGAATATAGTTCATGATTTGCTCTTCAAAAATGCATGAACATTAGTTCATGAACTGTTCATGAACAAAAAAGTTCATGAACTTATTATTCATGAACTGTTACTTTCATGAACTGTGCCATTTAACGTTCATGCACATTCATGAAGAGTTCATGTACTTTTGATGGAAGTTCATAGTAGTATACCCATAAAAGTACTCATTTTTTTTGGGGGGGTGTGGGAATTTTTTCATTTTACTATAAGATAGTATTGTAAAAGAGTCGGGTGATGTCGCAAGATTCGTCGCAAAAAGCGTTCCCGGACGGGGGGGGACTTTTTTTTGGGTGTGGTCCTAGGCGTGGTCGGGCGACGTGCGCCGGTGTTTTTCGTTTTGCGCATGCGCGGCCGAGATGCGTCTCCGAAGCCGTGGTCGACCGCACTGATCGGTTTTGAATTTGGCGCGCGACTTTATTATGTTACAAGGGGCGGAGCTTACTTTGACCTTTCAACTAGCTTACTCTTTTCAATCGCTTAAAAGTTGACATGCGTAAATTTAATGTGTTTTGTAACCCTAATAATTGTGTAGTGTTAGTGTAAGGTAGATAAAAGCCAAATAATTAAAGTAGTGATTGTCTGGCATCTGAACATGTAGTTTCGGTGTGGCGGAATGGTAACGCGTTGGGGAGTAAAAGTCCCAAGTCAAAGTGGGTTCGATTCCCACCTAAGATAATGCTACATGTTCAGAGTCAGACTACATTTTATGTTTGGTTCTGCTATGGAGTGTACGTGTACTTGCGAGGAGGACAATTGCTTGTGTAATTGCAAGTGTGTTATTTGTAATATGATTCGTGAATTAGATGCGCAAATAGAGCAGCAAAGGAAACGAGATAGGGATAACAAAAAACCTGTGACAAGCCGGTTTTGTCAGTGTTCTCAACAGGGTTGGTGTTATTGGTGTTAAGACTTTGTGTTCTGTCTGCCGTGAGAGATGGATAAAAAATTAAAATGTGAAGTTGAATGGGATCGATTAACGATG